TTATCCAGAACAGTATTATTTATGGGCAGCAAAGTTTTGCCCAAATCTAGTGGCTTATTGGGCTACTATGGTTAAGACATGCCGGTTCCTGTAATTAGCATGCAGGGAAGTAAGAGATGTTAACATCAGGTCCAGCTACCTTTGAGTTGTCTGCCAGGATGATCAGGTGGGATTGACTGCAGGTGGCTTGTGGCATGAGTCTAGAGAAGGTGCAAATTCACTTCTGGAACTGTGACAGGATGCCTTAACTGCTTTGCCACCTTCCCCCTTACTGTCAATAGTGGATATAGAAATGGATGCAGCTTGTAGGGCAGAGTGATCAAAATCATCTGCTCACTTTTATGCTGTTTCATAAAAACTGATCAAGCTTACTAATACTTTAACATGAGTTTGATGCTGTTGCTTAAAATGATTTGCTTAACTGGAACCCTATTTTAAAAAGGTAGAAAACTGCTATATGTATGCCATTTCTGTTATAATTCAGCCAAGCCTGGTCTATAAACTCTAATGCAGAAGCTGTTGAAACTGTGAAGAAGTTTCTTATACCAATACAGCCTCCTACAGAAGAGGAATATTCCTCTTCTTTTCTAAGGATAAACTGAACTAGTGTAACTACATCTACAGTAGACTTGTTGTATGGTCTGCTAATTGTTGCTGGGAGGATATTCAGTTAACTTGACAGACTGTCATTTGTAGTCACAAGACAGAGGACTTGGAAGTCTGACCTCAACATAATATAGAAGTGGGGACGCTTGCAAATGGATATGGTTAAAATAATATAATGTTTAGGTATAGACAAGTTTTTAATGGTCTAGCATAGCGGTAGCATATAGGTGCATCTCAACAATATTTAGAGAGATTAGAGGCATTAATAGGAAACAGGAAAGGTGTTGGAAAAGAACAGTGTGATAGGAGAAATGGCAAAGAAGAAAAGACAGAGAAGAAATAGAAGGATGTGTGAGTAAGGGACAAAGTTTGGAGTTAGTATATACAGTCTTGTGCAATATGGGCAAAGTCAAAGTCTGTTTTACAGGAGGGACAACTGGTTAAGATCCAATGCTGAATTTTCAGTGAATGTAGAAACATTTTATAATCTTCCTAGGTCAAATGCTTAGAAAAATCATTATACAAAAAGGTCCATGGGTCTCAGAAGCATTTAATAATTAGGAAGTATAAAGGCCTAACTGCATATATACAACTTTTTATTGTTTACTCCTTATTTTAAAATGTTACTGATAGCAATAGATTTCCCA